ATTGACTTTTTATTTTTCCCAGTTGTGTTTGGTTCTACTCTTGGTCTCTGGGCTATCCAGTTTCCAGTTCCTGGCCACTCGGACAGTGTCAGGCATGGGCTCCCTCTCACAGTATGGGCCTACCTGACATTCTGGTGGCTGGTGTGGCTTCTGGTCCAGCAGGGAGTCTCTGCACAAGTGGTAGGCTGGGATATGGCGATGAGGAGGGGAGGGGGGGGATTAGAGCTAGTGTTGGGGGAGGGCACAGTGAGAGTGTGAAAGTGGAGGAGTTCCGTGGGCAGGCAACCTACCCGATCTTCTGGCAGGCATGGCCTGTGGTTGGGCAGGGGGTGACTGCCAGAGGGAACTGAGAGAGTGGGCTTCCCAAAGTTTTACCTTGCTTAAGTGCCTAAGAAAAATAAACCCTGAAGTCAGACTCCGAAGTTATTATTTTAACCCAGCATCTGCAGAGATGGTAGAGATTTTCTTCTGCATCTTGTGCAGAAAGCCTCTTTGCCTGCCATGAGGATTCCAGGGTCTCTGACATACTTTTACTTGGCTTCTGGCGATCAAACTCAGGTCTGACAGCAAGGGTCTTTTTTCCACTGAGCCTACTTGCTGGGCCTGTTTTTATTTTTAAATATCCAGAGACACTGGTTATTTCAGAGATCTGGCAGCAGAAATAATCTGCAGTGTTCTTGATTGCTTTCTGGGATCCAAATCCTAGATTAAAGTAAACAGAAACATCTGATTAAAAAAAAAAAGGTCTTCTTGCAGGGCCATGGTGGTGCACATGCTTAATTCCAGCCCTTGGGAAGCAGAGGCAGGCGAATTTTGAGTTGAGTCCAGCCTGGTCTACAGAGTCAGTCCCAGGACAGCAAGGTCTACACAGAGAAACCCAATCTCAGAAACAACAACAAAAAGCAAACAACAATAACAAAATCTGATAAAACCCAAACTTAAGAATTGGCCTAGAGTTCTCATCTACACAAAAAGTAAATATTGTTCATTTTCCTTCATGGAACAAAGTGATTTTGCTGGCAATGGCAGGGACAGATGATGTGTATAAATACTACTTTATTCCACCATCTGAAAATTTTGTCAAAACTCTATCCCGACCATCTCCTCCCTGCCCCCGTTAAATCAGTGTGCTAGTACAGGATCTGAGGTCCAGTGAGAAGGACATGTCCACTGGAGACTGTCTAGCCCTTGCAAGTTAGTCTGCAGTTCCCATTTGCAAGAGAATCTCAGAAGCCCTTTTTTGTTTTCAATTCATAATCTGTCACTAAGCTCTAACCGGTTTGTTGTAGATGGAAGCTTCATTTACAGCAGGAAAGAAAAGGCAGACAATAACGTCTGGTCAGAGGTCACCTCTTCAGGCTGCCGTAGTAGTTGTACTCCTAAAGTTGAAGTGACAGATCAGAGAGAAAGCTGAAAAGCTAGGGGAACAGTCTCAGCACAGCGAATTCACGACTCCGTGAGAAACAACGGAATCTGACTGACCACCGGAGACCCTGAACGCCAGGTCACACAGAATCCCTGCATCCCTTTATTGAGACCCTAGACTGCAGCTGTTTCCTGTAATTCTTTCCAAGAGTGGGCTCGGGTCAAAGCTCATTACAGCATTCCCCTTACTGGAAATCCAGCTGATCCTCTCACTGCTCTCTGACTGTTTTCCAAGAATGGAAGAAAATAAACTGTGTTACGTTGAAAGTGCAACAGATTCACTGCTACTTATCCACTCTTTCCTTCGGTCTAACTTAAAGAAAAAAAGACCATGTTATCTCCAAAGAAAAAAATGGTAGCCATTGTTTTTATTCTCCTGGAAATATGGTGGAAAGAAATGTGAGTATACTGTATATAGAATAGATATAACATATACAACATATATAAATGAATGTACGTAGCTGGAATTTTTGTACTGTTTTGAGGGTGATAGATGCTCCCCCTTCACAGAACACTGGTCCTCACTTCCTCCCCAACAACTCTTGTCTTCTGAATATTGGCCTTTGAGTGGTGAACAGATAGTCCTATAGCTATTGCCATGACTGACTATTACACTGTAAGGAGCAAATGGAAATTAGCCAAATTCATGTTGAGCAAGTCTTCCAGGATAAGAGGCCTGAGCTGTGTCCTGTGATATGCTTGCGTTCCCTTCCTTTTCAGGAAGCCAGAAAAGAGTTGCAGTCCAGTAGATGGATAGAAGTGATGCCGTGTTTCACCACAGACCTCTAAAGCTCACACGTTTTCTTCCAGGTGGGCCTTCATTTGCTATTTATTTTAACAACACAAGCTACAGGAGAAGCTTTCAAAGAGGAAAGGTGTTAGTTACCAGGAGAGGGTGTAGGTAGGTCAGCATAATGGTGAGTTTTGCTGAGTTGGAGAATATTAAGATGAGATAAAGACACCTTAGTTTCTTCCTAGAGTGGGCTCCTGTGATCTGCATTGTCCTGTGACTTTCACAGGGGAGGAATTGCTGGGAAGAACAGTTGGTGTCTGGCTTCAGACTATCAAATTTTTAAATTTACCATCTAGGGTAAATGTCTGAATGGGGTAGTGTGACCATAAATTAAAGTTAAGGAAGCAAGACTGAGCTTTTGGACAAGAATATGAAGAGTAGCATGAGCACAGCAATATGGAAACTGTGTTGTGGGTTGGGTGCCCGCTGGCCCGCCTTTCAGTGTAGGCAGCTGGCAGCAGCTTACCACATCACTCTGGGATGAGGGGGCCAAGTGCGGCACATTTGAATCGCTAGGAGTTGCATTGAGACACAGGCCCCTCTTAAAGATCCTGGCCATCTGATCTCTGTCTCTCTGTCTCCCAGTCTCTCTGTCTGTCAGTCTCTCTCTCTGTCTCTGTCTCTCTGTCTCTCTGTCTCTGTCTCTGTCTCTCTCGTCACCACTCCAAGTCAGTCTTTTACTCTTTCTCCTCCCCCAGTAAACCTCTTGCATTACATCTGTTGCATGCAGTGTGATCTCTTAGCAGCTCCCTTTGGCTAGGCTTGCCAAAGGAACCTGTGGTGATTTGAATAGAAATGGCCTCCATAGACCCATGGGTAAGAATGCTTGGCCCATAGGGAGTGGCACTATTAGGAGGTGTGGCCTTGTTGGAATAAGTGTGTCCTTTCGGGGGCAGGCTTTGAGCTCTCATATGCTCAAGCTATGCCCAGTGTGTAGACAGTTCACTTCCTGTTTCATAAAGATCAAATGTAGAACTCTCAGCTCCTTCTCCAGCACCATCCCTGCCTGCACACCACCATTCTTCCTGCCATAATGATAATGGACTAAACCTCTGAAACTGTAAGCCAGCCTCAATTAAATGTTTTTCTTTATAAGAGTTGCCATGGTCATGGTCTCTCTTCACAGCAACTGAAACCCTAAGACAGTACTCCTTTCCACCACTTCATCATTACAGAAACCAAGAAGGTTCTGATAAACCATTTTTTTTCATTCTTCTCACAGTAACAATGATGAAAAGAAAGTAAAAAAAATATACTCTTTATGCTTGAAACTTGAATAATGAGTCCAGTGTTCTCACTTGTCATAATTATGCTCACAAACATAGAGACTTCATGATATATATTGAAAATTTAGCATATAGAAGAATACACATGGCTCTATGGAAGACACAGAAAATAGAGAACATGGTAAGAAACAAAATGAACAGTAGCAGGTCAGGCTAAAGGAACTGTAGTCTCAGACTCTTGGTTTTAAATCATCGAAAGCAGGCTGAATACATCTTCATCACCAGGGACCATTAAAATCAATACATCTTCGTCAATGAGAAATGTTTAATTCTGTAGCTTAGAAAACCATGCTTCAAGATTTGATGAACTCTTGGGAAGAATTTTCTGCACCCTTCTGGCAGTGGAAGCATTTTTCCTGTGGAAGTTTGGTGAGGTCCTTGAAGAACTGATATTGGGCGGGTGGGAGGTCATTTGAATATGGTGAACAAGGCAAAATTGAGTAGCCCAGTTCATCCAGCTTTCAAAGTGTTGGTTATTCAATGTGTGGTCAGGCGTTGTTGTGTCTAGTTGGCACGTTCTCGTGACCAGTGTTGTGCAGGTGTTACAATTCCTAGTGTAGCTCATCCATTTGTAGATCATGCTTCTCAGGTGTCCAGAGGGACAAAGGGCTGACTCTGGATAGGGAGGAGACAGATGTGGCCCATAGTAAAATGGCAGTTTATAAAGGTACAAGGGAAAACCCTGTGTTAAGATGTGGTGTTTGATTTTAACTGGGCATGTTAATTAGGAGAGCAAATGGGGGTTTTGATTGCTTGATTTCCATACTTCCATAGTTGGACCTTGATAGTCAGCCTCAGGAGGAGGAAGTGGCCAAATAAGGGAATAGACCTTGGTGGCTAGCTTTAGGAATGTAATCTAATGTTTGTTTTTTTTTTTTTTTTTTTTTTTTTAGCAAGGCAGAGGTTTTGTGTTTTTGTTGTGAAATAAGAGGGAAATATGCTTTTTAAAAAGGCAATCAGTATTATGGCAGTAATATTGTTAGCTGATATTTTATGTACAACTATATTATATTTTACTCAGCTGTATTTAAGAAATTAATACAGTAATGTAATTAAGAAATTCAGAAGCTAGGTTTTCTCAAGTTAATGTCTGTAGATATACTGGAAAAGAGTTGAGCTGAAGGTCAAGCAAGGTCTGGAAACTTGTGTGAACAGATTTTGTAAATGTATTTCATATCAATCATGTATATATGAAACTCTTTGCTACTACAATGTATATTTCCAAGTATTATAACTTCTAGAAAATGTAGCATATTATTACATGGGAAATATCAGATAATACTTGATTTGTTGGAGTATATCTGTTTTTGAGCAAATATTCACTTCAAATGTCATTGCTACATCACCCATACTATTTCTACAAAAGGACAGAAAGAGCCTATAAAGGACATACTTTAAAAAGTCATTATTAGCCTACTTATCTCAAAATAGTACAAGAAATTAAGTGATTGACCTCAATAAATAGCTCACTACCTATCACTTCCTTTTCCCTTTAGAAATGAGCTCTGTGAATTATTAGAGAATTCAACTTCAACAAATTCAAATTCCACTTCAACACTGGAGATCAAAAATGATCCAGAAAATGTATTCTGATGCTGGTGAATGCACTAAACAGGTATAGTGTCATGTTCTTTAAGAAAAAAGTATGACCATGGTCTGTGTCAATGCGACATTGGAGTGTAAACTTGTTGTCCTATGGACTTTGTTGTTGTTTGTTGGAGACAGACACTTTGTATAGCCCAGACTTGCCTCAAACTTGGGATCCCGCTGCCTCATCCTCCCCAGTACTGGCATCATAGCAATTTGCTACTGAGCCTGGTCATTTGTGACTTTTACATCTCTGAGACATTGGTTGTGTAGTGGTTTTTATTTCTCTAGGAACTTGGTCAACTCATCAATCTCTGGGTCTTATTTTCCTTTACTTATAAAATGGGACAGCAATTAAGGTCTATGTTCTATATAGCATTAGAGCTTTTCTCAGATAATATTTGTTTGGAAACTACAGTTGCTACTTCTCAATCTTTTACTTGAGAAATAGGAGGACACAGTTTTTTTTCTTTTGTTTTTGTTTGTTTGTTTGTTTTTGGTTTTTCAAGGGTTTCTCTGTGTAGCCCTGGCTGTCCTGGAACTTACTCTGTAGAACAAGCTGGCCTCGAACTCACAGAGTTCCACTTACCTCTGCCTCCCAAGTGCTGAGATTAAAGGTGTGTGTCACCACACCCCCCAGCAAGAGGAAACAGTTTGAATTCTGTGGATTGGTTTTGGTTTTTGAATGATCCCTTTATACTCTTAGTGACACAATATATAAACTATAATATGAACATTTAAATTTCTCCATTTATCACTGGAAGCTCATGAAGATAGAGAATTTAGAAATATTTGATAGGCATAATACAACACGAAATATCACCAATCTATTACCTCAACTGATGAAGAGAAACCAGTCGACACTGACTTGGTGATTATCACTTTTACATAAAGTCATTTTAACTCCTGATGTTAAACTGTAGTATCCAGAGAATTTTGGAGAGGAGTGGGAAGGGGCTAAGAATTGAATTACAGCCTCATACATAGTAAGTAACATGCTAACGCAGAGCTCTAACTCCAGACTCCTGGAGTATTTAGTATTCTTTGATAATTTCATACATGTGAATAATGATTTTAGTTGCTTTTAACTCTCTGTTATTCTCTCTCGCCCCTCCCATCTCCCAGGAACCCCCTCTTCATCTCAGGAAGGGTTTCTTGCCTGAACTTAGAAGAAAGGTTCTTTATTGATGCAAAGGCAACTCACAGTAGCCGTACCACTGGAGAAAGTAACTCCCTCTCTCCCAGAAAGCAGTGACTGGCAGCAGTCTGTCTCAGGGAGGAGGGAGGCCTCGGGAGCTCCTTCCCCAGCCACGTTGAAATGTTGATGGGCCCAATCTTGGGCAGGTCTGTAGTATTTAATATAATGGGTTTTTATTTTTGTCTGTTTTCTATTTCTTTTTGAGATGATGTCTATTTAGGCTAGACAGAGAAAAGAAATGAAAAATTCTTTTTGATTGAGAATCTGCAGTTTACTTAAAAAAATCAAATGTTTTATGCATTCTGTGGGAAAATGGCATATATTTTGAGATGTTTATATTACAAATTAATTATGAGAAATAAAGCATGGTTTCAATTCTGACATCTGCCTGACTTTGCTATTTGTGATTACCATCTTCTAGTTCATATGAACACGCTGAAGTTATTCAAGTGTCTAATGTGGTCTTTTTGAACATCGGCTTAGAATGTTCATATTTGGTTTTCGAAAATTTGTTTCAGCAAAGAAGAAAGCTGAGCTGTATTTCAACATTTGTTTACACTCTCTGTGATAGCTGAAGTGATCGTGGTAAATGAGATGCCAGCGAAAATGCAGAGGAAGGCCAAGCGCCCACACTGTGCCCGAGCATTGACTCTGTTCTGCTAAATGTAGTTAAAAGTAGAGCATCTGGAGTAAGAATGGAAAACAAGGAAGTTTCTGTCCAGTTCAGAAACAAATGGAAGAGAGCATTTCTGCAGCTAGAGCTCGATTGGTATAGAAATGAAAATTTGGCCGGGCGGCGGTGGCACACGCCTTTAATCCCAGCACTCGGGAGGCAGAGGCAGGTGGATCTCTGTGAGTTCGAGGCCAGTCTGGTCTACAAAGCGAGTTCCAGGAAAGGTGCAAAGCTACACAGAGAAACCCTGTCTTGAAAAACCAAAAAAAAAAAAAAAAAAAAAAAAGAAATGAAAATTTGAAATGACTGGTACCTGGGATCCAGAGACACAAAATCACATGACAGTTGTGGAAATTTGGAAAACAAGTATGTAGTATATAGCATGGGGTGAGGTTGTGGAGTGGGGCCAGTGATGTGTTCTAGAAGTAGGTGTTAGGACCTAGCTGGGAACATCCTTCCCAGAGATTTGCTCTCAAATCCCCAGAGGTCTTGGGAGTGGGAGGGAAGGGATACGTGAACTCAGTTCAGCTGAATTGAGAAGGAAACAGAGGAGGACCCTGGGATGTGTTTGAGACACAAACGCAAACCCAGAAACTAGACATGCACCATGAGGTTGGAAGTCCGTGAAGCCCATGCAGTCAAGTCTGGTTACTTAGAGGGAGAATGTTTCCATGACAGAGCTCCTAACTAAACGGACTCAAGGCTTACCTACACTGTGCTTCACATGCTCAGTCCCAAGACTGAGCCCTGAGGTTTGGATGGTCACAGGCTAATGAGTGGGAGCTAAGTGTTGGTGTCCAGCACATGCTCAATAAATAGTTGATTCATGAATGATTGATATGGTTTTAGGTATGGAGAGGAAATTTTCTGTTCTTACCCAAGTATATACAGGCACCAATTTATAGTTAAAGTTATCATGCCCCATAAAAACTAATTTCTTAGAGTATTAACAATTTATGATATTAGAATTTTTTGACTGAATAAATAAGGAACCAAAGGTTTAAATAAAATTAGTTGCATTTTAGTATTAAAGAGTTCCTTAGTGACTTGACTACAGATTGATTTCTGACATACAGGTTGAATGGGTTCATTTTCCCAAATTTATTTGATTAAAGAGTCCATTCCTTAGCAATAACTTAAAAATCTTAAAACCCAAACAACCTCTGTTCTTTCTTGTGTCTCCTGGACTCATGCTGCGGAGAGGACATAGGTAAGTACTGAACACACAGAGTGAGATGGAACTCAAAAGGGATCCATGGGTTGTGGTAGTATTGAGGGGAATATTATCTTTTGGAAGTTTCTAGGATTTCAAAAGCAAAATTTATAGCCATTAGGCAATCTTCATTTTTATTGATGGTCCTGCCTAGAGCTGAGAAGCCAACAGTCAAGAATCCTACTTGACTCTAGTCTATAGCTCAAGGTTGGGTTGGATAAATTTGGAGACTATGGGGTTTTTCAGAGGATATGTATGGGATGAGAAAGTTAGGGGGTGCAGGCAGGTGTAGCCAGCTTGGGCTACAAAGCAAGTTCCAGAACAGCCAGAGTTGTTACACAGGGAAACCCTGTCTCAAAACAAACAAACAAACAAACAAACAAAAAAACAAAAAACCAAACAAAAAAATTGCCATCTTTATCACTCTGACACAAAGGCAAACAATATTTTTGGTTGTATATAGTTGAGTTGGAGAGAAAGAAACGACCCCAGATAATGAAGTGGGTGAGAGGAGGCAGTGACAGGCTGGAGAGAGCCCAGTGAGGGCTGAGATGGGAACACCATTAGTTTTCATGTTTACATGCGATGAAGTGACGTAAGTACATTGACCTCCCAGTCGAGCTGTTTGATTGGTGTTGAAAATCCTTTTTTAAAAAAGATTTTGTGTGTATGAGTATTTTTCCTGCATGTATATGTATGTGCACCATGTGCATGCCTGATGTCATAGATTCCCTGAAAATGGAGTTACAGACAGTTGTGAGCTGCCCTGTGGGTACTGGGAATTGAACCTGGGTCCTCTAGAAAAGCAGCCAGTGTACTTAACTGCTGAGCTATCTCTCCAGCCCTGGCTTTGAGAATTTTAATCAGGATGTGCCTGTGTCTCAGACAAGCAAAATCATAAACATTCAGATGAGCATCAATATGATGGAGCAGACAATGCCAAAGGACTCCTTAAAGGAGAAACTCTCAGTGCATCCCTCAGTGGAATAACCCACCCCACATATCCTCAAGTAACGCTGACTGGTGGTCCGTCCATGGCGTACACCGCACTGTTAATGAACATAGCCTTCCTTCCTTCCTTCTCTCCCACCATTCCTGATACCAATCCTCCGAGAATCCTGGGGGATTTCTAAGCTTATACTGCCCAGTGCTATGGCCATTAGCACCGTCTTGTAACATGTCCCACCTGGGAAGTCTTGCTTCATGATTCCAACTCAAATACATTGTGGAGTTTCTTAACGAAACCGTTCGGGACTGAAAGCGTAACTCGTATCTCCATTTAACGCGGCGTTTTCTCCTACGTTGTTTTCCAGTAGACGGCAAACTGATTTCTGGGTCCGTTTCTGTTATTTTGAAAGAGTCTCTTTCATGTTCACGACGCTGATAGGCGCCAGCAGGCGTGGGCTGACTGGTTATCTGTGGGTGTCTCTGAGGCCCCAGCAGGCGTGGGCTGACTGGTTAGCTGTGGGTGTCTCTGAGGCCCCAGCAGGCGTGGGCTGACTGGTTAGCTGTGGGTGTCTCTGAGGCCCCAGCAGGCGTGGACTGACTGGTTAGCTGTGGGTGTCTCTGAGACCCCAGCAGGCGTGGGCTGACTGGTTGGTTAGCTGTGGGTGTCTCTGAGGCCCCAGCAGGCGTGGGCTGACTGGTTAGCTGTGGGTGTCTCTGAGGCCCCAGCAGGCGTGGGCTGACTGGTTAGCTGTGGGTGTCTCTGAGGCCCCAGCAGGCGTGGACTGACTGGTTAGCTGTGGGTGTCTCTGCTGCCTGCTGCCCCTTGTTTCATGTCCAGGGAAGAAACACATCTGCCCCGCTGCATCGACACAAAGGCAGAAGGAAGATTAGAGCTGCCACCCAAGCCATTGTTTCCCCATTCTGCTCATTTTCCCGTTGCCTGACCTCCTTATGAACATAATAATTACTCCTGGATCTCTGCAAGCCGTGGCTGCA